ATTCTGTCACTTTGACATTTTAATCCAAACCATAAAGGGGTTATGTATAGCTTTTGAAACCATAAGGAGGTTATGTAATAAAATACTAAACTATAAGGGGGTAAAGTATAATTTGCCCTTTTTTTTTTTTTCTTTTTTGGGGCAAAGGAATGAATTGTAATTGATGATAAGATTGTAGGACATTTCACGTACTTGGTAGACTTTGATTTGTAAAGAAAAAGGAGCACAGAATCGTACAAAACCAACTCCAGGGCATTTAACTTTCATCCACCATTCAAGTTAGAACAGCTAGCCAATTGACCTGATTATCCATAAATGATCAGTTCTTGACACTTGACAGAACCATAAATTAAAGCATGGTTTCATCCACAATGGTCTATCGAATGAACTTAATTTGTTCAGAGCATGGTTCAAAGCATGGTTTGTAAACTCTCATAATTTTACTGATCTTCAAGCAAGAATACTTGAGGGTTACAATTTACAACCTATACAAAGGAAAGAAAACTGTGTACAAGACAGAATACATTACAAACAGAAACATATATAGCTCCAAACATAGAACCTGGCAGCTCTGGTTCAGAAGCTAACAAGCGGTTGCTGAATGAATTTGCTGCTAGGTTTCTCCACTCAAATAGTATTTTCTCTAAGGTCTCTAAGTCGTATCTGATAATTCACCAATTCAGGAGGCAGGACCATTTCTTGAAATTGCTTCTTGTTCCTACTCCAAATATACAGTAGTACATTTGAGGCAGAAAAGGCAGTTCTCCCAACCAAATCACTAAATGAGTGTTGACATAATTGAAATCAAGCTTATTTGATTGGTTAAATGTAATTGGTTTTTGAATTTGGTCATCTCGTGTCTAGACTCAATGCATGATTAACTGTGAGTCGGTTGTACATTTTCCTTGATGCTAAGCTATAGCTAGCTAGTTGGTGGCTAATGTTTTCCTTATTACCATTTAAGTTTCATGGCTGACTTAGGAGTTGAGATGTCCTATTTACATTTACGTGTGCTGCTATAAAAAGGAAGGTATTGCTGCCTCCAGACAAACGGCCTTTGGCCCTGTTTTCATTTGTTCATTTTCACCACTTATTTTCTTTCATTTTTTCTACTGCCTTCAAACAAGCTAGCTAATTTTTTTCTACTGCCTCCAAAGGCTAACGACAGACAAAATTTACTTCCGTCACCCAAGCAAGCAGCTAATTATTTGTAATTAGCCATATACTGCAAGCTAGCCAAAGAATAAAGGCATGATTCGAAACATGCTTGTTCTCCCGGCTGAATACCACTTTAGACTATTTAAATATTGACGCGCTCCCATTTAGTTATTAAATTTTGTTTTGGACACTTTACCCCGTAAAGTATGAAATCCATCCCATTATAGTTCTTAAATTTGATTTGGACATATCACTCGCTACAATATGAAATACATCTTAAGAAACTGTCGAAACTAATGGAATAGTAAGCAAGTGTGCTCAAATTTAAGAATTAGAGCGGGATAAATTTCAAGTTCTAGGGGTAAAGCATCCATATTTGAAGTTTAAGAACTAAAATGTGAAGGATAATTTTAGGAGTATATCTATAGTTTAAGGGTCTTGAGTTGAATTTACCATTGTTTCCATTATAGCTGTACACTAAAAATTAGGGATAATTTTAGAATGGGCAAAAAGTCCCAAGGGCGCTCGAACTTTTGTCCGGATGAACTTTTAGCCTCCAATAATTAGATGTAAACTTTTGATTCCCAAAGTGCCAAAAGTTGGTTCTTCTATCAATTCCAATAGTTAAGAATGACAGAAAACAATATCGCGCACGATCCATGAGGAATTAGAGGGGCATTCTTGTCTACTCAGTAGTATTTATGGAGTAAAAGGAAACCAGCCTCTTGACTCCACAGAAGAAGGTCTAGCCGCAGCAGAGGAAGAACATCTCCATTGCAGTCGACGAAGATGGGATGCAAAGCCTTGCAATCTCCACAACCAGGGGAATAAAAAATCAACTATAACCAATGTATCACCAATATTTAACAATGAATCCACAAGTTCTTATGCAGAATGAATCTCAAAAGTCTTCTCCCACTATCTCAAAGCTCTGCTATTACTAATTAATACTTGTGCCTAAATATATTCATCAAAATTTGGGAAAAATTTGTAACTTTGAAGCCATACATAAATATCTAAGGTAAAAAATTTTTAAAAGAAATGGTCAGGAACATGATTAGTACCTTAATAGAAAATTAATGGGCAAAATACAGTTTGATTTAGCGCTTTTTCACATAACCCCCATATGGTTTCAGAAACTATACATAACCCCCTCACGGTTTGGATTAAAGTGTCAAAATGACGGAATTTGGATTACATAATGGAGTCAACTAAAATGTCAAAAGTACCCCTATGTAAAGTTAATATTTATTTATTAACCATGGGGGGTTATGTATATATTTTTAAAGTTATAAGGGGTTTATATAGTAAAATACTAAATCATAGGGAGTTATATAGTAAAACATTAAACATACAGAATTAGAGTGTCATGCATATCATGCTTATATATTTTTGTCAATTTAGCCATTTTAGTTTTTAAATAAGGGTAATTTTGACATTTTCATGGGTTCCGTTATAAATAATCATTTTCATCATTCTGACATTTTAATCTAAACTATAAGAGAGTTATGTATAGCTTTTGAAACTATAGGAGGTAATGTGAAAAATCGCCAAACCACTAGGGAGTAAAGTGTGTTTTGCCCAAATTAATAGAAAAAAGTAGTTGGAGCTTTGACATCCCAATAGGTTGAATTTTGAACAGAATTGTTTCCCCTTAAAATCTTTTGATCCTGAATCTAAAAACTAAAGACATGCAAAGTACTGAACTATTACTAGTTAAACAAAGAGGATGGGACTTTTCTTGCAAGTACATATCTTTTTGACTAATTTCTAATGTAGTTTCAGTCACAACTTTTGCTCTATTTGATTCCTCGGAAGTTTTTTTGAGCTCTAATTCCTCATATTATATGTGGAAAAAAAAAAAGTTCGGCAAAATTAGCTCTGACAGGGAGGAGGTACAAATCTATACCTGCCGTGCTGACGGGCCACGGCAGGTCAATTTTTTTTTTAAAAAAAAAAGCTAGATGGCTACCGTACACAGTCAACATAGTTAGGGGTGGCAATGGGGTGGGGGTGGGGCAGGTGAGACCTCCCCCAACCCCCGCCCCGTTGCATTTTAATTCCACCCGCCCCAGCCCCATCCCCCACCCCACCCCGCTTCCCCCCGGGGGCACCCATGGGGTTAAAAAATTTTATTATATAATTTCATTATAATTAAATTTGAACAAATAATCAAGTACTAAAATATCAACATATCACTAAATTATTATTCATTGTAACTTCACAATTGAAACTCATAAAAATAATTAAACAAAGGTTATTTGAATACAATCTAATATGATAAAACAAATATAACTAAAATAATCAAGTTTTCATTTTTGATACAAATACAATCACTAAATTAATATTGTGTTTTTCTAGAAAAAAGTATTATTGTATTAAGTGTGGTTAGGAATTTAACATAAATGTATCAATAAATTTAGTATAAATAATTAATAATTTTTATTAATAGACATGTATAATTAGTAGTATAATTGATAATATCATTATATATATAATTATGTACATATATATATATATATATTTTTTTTCAACCGACCCCCCGCCCCATTTCTAAACGGGGGAAAAAATTCCCCCGCCCCGCCCCAATGACCCCCCGCGGGCAGGTGCCCACCCCCGTTGCCATCCCTAAACATAGTAGCCATTCTACCAATTCAAAAAAAAAAAAAAAAAAAAAACCTGCACTTGAAGAATCTGTCAGGTCAAAGGCTGTCACATTTGACTATTTTTTCCAAAAAAATGGCAGGTCAATTGTGGCAGCCGTTGACGATTTTTTTTTCAAAAAAGTTGTTCCCTGCCGTGCTGGCGGGTCATGGCAGGGGGTTTTTGTAAAATAAATTAAAGTTTGATTCTAGTCGTTCAAATGAACGGCTAGATTTGGTGTAAAAATCACATTCGTGATTATTAAAAAAGGAGAAGATTCAGAAAATGTCCGCCCTTTTCTCATTTCTCATTTCATTCTTGTCAGCCTTGACCTGATAAAAAAAAATATATTTTTTTTTGATTGCTACTAAGCACGGTAGCTCTAGTTTAGGACATCATATTTGACAGAGCTACATTTGGTGGACTTTTTTTTTTACACACCTATAATCTGAGCAATTAGCCCTATTTGAGTGGCTTTGCATGAGAAACGCAGCACGGGACTCATAGAATTAGTATCTATAATGGAGACTTTATAAAAGCGAAGAGAGAAAATATACAATTTGTGGTAATCTTTGTTTCGTCTAGTGGTTTTCCTCCGAGTATGTTTAACTAGGTAAGAAACTAAATTATATAAATTAACAAATCATGTTGAATATACATAGATAAGCTCAGGATTAAAAAAAAAAAAAAAATAGCAGCTCCTTTTCTCCAAGTGACTCAAATTTCATTCTGCTATGAGTTTCATACTTGTGTTGGCTTGAATGAGCTAGGCAAACGATGCTCACGTTTCATATGAATGAGGAAAGGCAAAGATTGGACAAAGGTACTCAAGTCTCGAGCAATGAATCCATCAGCCAACTAACAAATACGTGAATCTTATGCCCTCTCAGATTACCCTACCAACGAAATCTTCCTGCGTAATAAAGATTGAAGCTGGGGTTTATGATTCACATAATTAAACCAGGAAGATAGGTGTTTAAATTTGACATAATCAAACCAGAAAGATGTTAAATCATTATTAGAAGTAAAAGACAATACAGGTTAGAGGTGGCTCTTTGTTAACGTCTTCAACCAGTGATCATAGACACTGATCATCACCAAGTTCAATCCCATATTACATTATAACCACCATGTAAGCAACAGATGCACTGAAACTAAACCTACCAAATGCACAGGGTTTGATAAATGAGCCAGGCATATAATAGCACAACTGCAGACTAGCAATTACAGAAGGAAATTGCTTATCCGGACTGCACCTTTTTTGTTTTACTACCAATTTTTCTAAATCAGAACATGAGTGCTTGCTTGTGCTTGGGAGAGGAAGTACTTCTCTCAGTCTATGTACAAAATTTTTCATCCAAAAGCTGTGATATTGCACCTTACCCTTGATCTGAAACTGAAAAATTTACAGAAATTCGTGAACTTTTACAGGACCTAGAAGACAATGGATAGAGCTCAACACAACTCGGCATCAAACTTCAGAGATATGCCCATGCTGAAAAGCTCCTGGCTGAGCAACTTGGCGCCGTAAGGCACATTCACCTTAACAATGTCTTCAGCAGACTCACAGAACCGGCAAAAAGGGCCACGAATCTTCCGCCCACCAAACACTGACCTTTGGATTACGTTTGCCATACTCTTGCATTTGCGACAGATATGCATCTCTGAGGAATCGCTGAGAGTGAAGAGGCGTTCATGCAGATTGGATGCAGCACCATGGGCTATAAGGCAATCTCGCTCCATCTCACCAAATTTTATCCCACCAAATCGCTTCCTGTCTGCCACCGGCTGACGAGTGAGTGGATGGACGGGTCCAGTATTTCGAAATTTGACTTTATCTTCAGCCATATGAATAAGGCGCTGATAGAACGTTGGACCCATGAAAACCATGGAATGAATCATTTCACCTGTTCGACCACTGTACACTCTTTCATTTCCCCACCTTGAAAATCCAAGCCTGCCATGTGCAATATTAAAAGCAACTCAGAACAGGCCACAGCGCACCAAGAGTAAAGTAAATACAGGGTGCAAATGATCGTGCATAACTTTCTTATATTGCTGATAAATTACCTGTGGAGTTGGTCTGTTACAGCATCAACAGATAAAGCAGAAAAAGGTGTGGCATATTTCTGCACACCTCCTAGAGCAATTCCCTTAGCCAAAGCAGCCTCTAACAGTTGTCCAGGAGTTTGCCTTGAAGGAAATGCATGTGGATTAATCACAATATCTGGAACTATCCCTTGTGCAGTAAACGGAAAATTCTCCTGGGATTCCAGGAAACCCAGAACACCCTTCTGTCCATGCATGCTTGAAAATTTGTCACCCAGACTTGGAGAACGAACCTGAAAACCGTACTCATTCTTAGCCTAAAAGCAAATTATAAATGCAAAACGAAAACATGATCATTGAGAAAAAGAGTATTTTATAACTCGAAACCAAATTACATCTGCTAATATAGTATCATACACAGTCTTCCAGCCCTATATATTTCAAAAGCATTTAAAACATACAAGGGAAATGATGATTTGATTCCAACGTCTGCAATTCAAAATTCAACAGTAGAGAAGCTAACCAACAAGCAAAGTTAAAGTGGAAAAAATAAGTGTTAAAAGACAAATCTTCCACTACTTTATTACCAAGGATAATACAATTGATGAATATTTGTATCAACCCTGATACTTGGGTTTGTGGTGGAAAACCCAATGGCCTGCTGAGAGTGCTTCTCAGATTGGTACAGGACCCTTCGTGCGTGATCGTGGTTTGCATATGGGATTATTCCACAGCTTAGACCAAGTAAAAATGACATGTCCAGTTCACAATGTGTGTATTTCATGGAAGGGTTCTCTCTGTTTCCAGTATACAGATAGTCAATTGCCCAAGCAGTTGGACAATCTTCTTCCTCTTCAGGTCCAATAAGTTCAATTATTCCTTTGTCCAAAAGAGACTGAAATGAATAGTTTTCCCCTTTCAAATCTTTGATCTTTTTCAGATTCTCAACTACTAGGAGAGGACGAAGAACCCTTCCAGCATCAGAAAATATACGAATTTCTCCATGATGTTCATCTCTTTTAATTTCCACCTGCAAGAAAATAAAAAACAACAGCTCAGTCCAGGATAAACACTAGAGAGATTTGTGGGCAGTCAAAGCATGCAAATAGCCACTAAAGAAGGCTACTGAAACTAGGCCCGCTTTATTCAAAGGATAAAATGAAGTTCACTTAACAACTTAGTCTAAATCCAAAAACACTACAACATAAACAAAAAACCATCAGACAACATGAAAGTAAAATAGGTATAATTATGTTGACAGCGGAGAAAAAGGCTGCTTAGCACATTGTAAAGCTCAATAACATTAAATGGCTTGTCACTATGAGATGATTCAGACCGAAAAGAAGACTTATTATGACTACAAGTATACATACTTCAGATTAGTATACATATGTTTTTCGTCTTTGGTCAGATGAAGCAACTATTGACCAAAACAAGGGAAATGGAGCAGAAAGACAGTAATTGCATCAACACATAAATCAAGCGATAATATCTAAGAGTATCTAGCATTTCTACCTAGGTAGCTATCTGTTGTTTAAAAAGAAGTAAGATTATAAGGCAAGACAAAGGATCAATATATTTTTGCTCAGATAGTGGCATGAAAGGTTCTCGAGGGAAATTGAAACAATTGCATATCATATAAACAGTCTACATTATTGTTCTATCAGCATCCCAAAATATTCTGAAACAAGCTTAGACTATGGAAATTACCTGTGGTGGGATCTCCTTGTTCCGACGCTTACTCCTTAATTCTGCTACAAAAAAAGCAGAATCCTTGCATGTTCCAATCCAATCCCCATCCAAAAATATCTTGTGCTCTCCATGTACCAATGATGAAGCATGATCTACCAATTGTTTCAGACCACAATTGAGCAATCTTTCAATAAGAGGTTCCAACACTTTTGTGCTGACAAGACCCAAGCTGGCCAAGTTTTTAACCAACCCACAATTTTCTCCATCTGGAGTAGAGAGGAAGCATATCTTTCCCCAGTGTGAACAGTGCCTGCGTCATCAGTTTTAACCATTTTTAAAATTAATAACTCAGATCAAAGCAACAAATTACAGATGCCCTGAGAGTGGACAGGCAGAAAGAAGAAAATAGAAATAGTGCATGGCTTTAGAATGTTAATAAAAGTATGCAAGAAAACTATTAGCAATTGAATAAAAGTAACTCTCTACCAGCGTGCATAAAGATTAGCTTAGCCAGAGTCTGAATCAAATTATAAGTTTTAGAAACATTTTAGCACGCATTTATGCTTTCTACTATATGAGAAGCTGAAAGTAATTCATAAGGAAAAATCTTAGATGAGTTCTGGTTCTCACGGATATCTAGCATCACCAACTTTTCCGATGTATGAAACCTGCTGCCGTGTTTTCCTCATGTCAGCAGTCATCTGCAATGGATTTGTTCGCCGAAGGGATGCTACAACTCCAGAAACCCTTTCCTTCTTATAAGGATGGGACCATGCTCCCGTTGAAAATGCCCTTGAGAGACCATTTGAAATGATTGATGCATCCAGATAATGTTCAATGCTCTGCAGGCTACGATCTCCATAGAGATCTCTTTGCATAGCCTTAACCATACACCTCTCAACATGCTTGAGGTGTACTTTCAGCTCCCTCTCCAGTAGCTCAGAAGCCAACTCCAATCTCTTGTTTCTGAAGTCATCCCGGTTGTCAACTTTTCTTCGCCCAGTATAGGCTTCCAACAGACACTTCACCATATACCCAAGGAAGCAGGCTTTCTGTTTGAATCCAGTTAAATTTGGAAACAGTAGATTGCTGATGCATTCTTCCACGGACTCAGCAGGAGGGTATTTGCAGTTATTCAGAAGCATCTGAACATAGTCTAGAGCATTCCTGCCTTTACGGAAGCCTCCTTTACATTTAAGATCAGCATCCTCAAATTTAGTATCAGCATAATAAATCGAGCCAGTTAGTATATTAGCAATCTTGGTGTCTTCAATGTTCAGATCAATCAAATCTACCACCTCTCTATCAGAAGATGCACCAAGGGCGAAAAATAGTATCCATACAGGCATTTCGGCAATGACAAAATAAACAGAAAGAACCCTTTGTCCTCCGATGAGATTTGCAAATTTTGATTCATCAACTAGCTTCAGATAGACTCTCTTCCTTCTTGCAACCGGACGGTAAGAAACAGTCCAGCACGGGACACATGAGAGCCAAAGTCTTGTCAAGCAAATTTGCTCCTGTGCAACAAATGTCTAAAAGAAAATATTTTAGGACATCTAGTACCCAAATATCTACAAACAACTGCTGAAAATGGCCTTGAGCAATGAAATTTTATTCAAAGACTCGCCCAAAATGCTCAATGGAAAGATGGTTGTTGTTGGTTTTGCTCTACATTGGTCAATGATGCAAAACAAAAGGCTAATCATTGTACTGGAAATTACTAAGATCTCAAAAAGAAAAGCTTTTAGATTTCACAACTGACTTAAAAGTATTCTCTGTTTACTCTGCAAAAGAATCTCAAACGCATGAGACTAACAGATAAAGTAAAGATGAAACACAAGGAATCAGTAGGGGTAATCTTTTGTCCCAGAAGAAATTGAACAACAGTCAACAAAGAACAGCAAGATTTAGGAGGACAAAACATACACATGGCCTCAAACAACAAGCCCTGTCCGAGTAAAGAGCAAGTACATCTTAGCATGCTAGTAATACTTTTTGTGGCAAGACTTCATCTTTCACTATAATTTCTAATGCCAACTATATAATGAGGATAACTAGCTTTCTATTCCGTACTATAGATCGTTGTTCCAGCCCTTTACAAGTTTAAAGGATCCATTTACTATAGATCGTTGTCATTTCTCCATTTTCATCTATTCATGCTCCTTCGTAGTGAGATTTTTCGGTGCAATAAATTCAGAGATCTAACTAGTTGGTCGAGCAGGACAACTATTACATATTTAAAAGAGTGGCATAGACTGTTAGAAACACTATACTGGACAGGAAAAGCAGAGAATGCTACTCACCTTTTCAGCACCCTTTATAATAAAGTAACCACCATGGTCAAATTCGCAATCATCCTTTTCAACTCCATTCATCCAACATAAGTCGGATCTCACCATAACAGGAAGCCTCCCTATTATGACCTCTCTCTTCTCCTCCTTCTCACACTCATTCTCTATATGTACTGCCCTTCCAGTTTTTGCCTTGTCACTTGCTAGAAGCTTCTTGGTGTAAACCTAAGTGATTACCAAATTCAAAACACATCAAAGTCAAAGAGCTACAATAAAAAGAAAGGTTATTGTTGAAGACGAATGGCCTCTGCCAATTTTGTGGTGAAGTAGTAGGAATGGAACCATTTTAGTATCTTTGCAGAGTCAACTAATAGTCTCAGTTTAGAAGTAATTTGTATACAGAATGCTTGTGTAAATAAAAGTCATACTGACACTGTCTAAGCTACTAATCTTCTTTTAGGTATTAATAAATTAACATCATGGAAGAAAACCAAAACAAGCAGAAAATTTAAATCAATCATTTATTGAAAACCACAACAAAATGAAAGTGACTCCTGCAATGATGTCATCAGACAGATAAGCAAAGGAAAAATAAATTATTTCCAGAACTCCTTGCCATTTCATAATCACTGCAGATTTGCGTTCTTCATAGTACAGGTGAGGGACTATGAGCTATTTAATCTTCAAAATTTATGAGTAAATCAACAAAGAGACTCTACCAAAGCGTTACTAGGCACTTAGCATGGCAAGATCTATTAAGAGTTAAAATTACCATTTCCAATTTCCTGTCACCACTAGGGATCAAAGACATGTAGAGTATTAGAAAATGAAATTGCTTTACAAGAAATTTTACAAACCATATTAAGAATATTCTTCAAATTAAAGCTTGAGATGGCACCCAACAGGCACAAATTGGAAATTTGGTGCAAATATTAGTTGATATGCATCAATGACAAGATACATGTACCAACTTCTACCAACACATATGAAATGGAAGATCAACAGCGTAAACTAGAGGAAATGAAATTCTACACACCACATTTAGATCCGAGTTAATTAAATTATAACACCCAAGTGAATGACTAACCTGAACATGAGTCTCCACTTTTATCCTAGCGGAATAAGTCATGCTCTGAAGCCTAGCATGACAAGGAAGAAACTTCAGGTACTCTTTTCCACCATCTCCAAAGAACTTGTCGCCTGTCCAAAAGTCTGGCTTATCAAGGATGACCTTGCCAAACTTTATGGAGGCATATTTCCATTCGCCGTCACCTCTCTTGGAAGGGTCAAACCCTGGCTCAACCACAATCTCTCCAACAGAGTCAAACATTTGTTGGATCCCATACTTGACAAAATTGTTGTATGAATTAATCTGATGACTAATTAGACCATACTGTTCAAAGAAGGCAGTTGCTGCCTTCTTGCAAAATTTCTTCAAAAAATCTTCACCCAATTCTTGTAGGGTGACAGAATTCAGCATATCATCGAAATCATCAAAGTCAATGTCATCAATATCCATCAGTAAAGTTTCGTCTGATAACTTATCTTTGCTGCTCCCAATTCCTGGATCTTTTCTGGCGTCAGGCACATCCATTAGAATCAAAATCTGTTATAATTCAAAGCAGAAAGAAATCAGAAAAGCGCACGTCAAATTCTGCATTCACAATGATTAAATTTCTAATGTCACAACCAGAAGTAGAATCAGCCAAATTGGGCAAAATATGGTCTTCCTACTAACAAAACACAGGGCAGAGTTGAAAATCAAATTATTATAATCAAATCTTTCAACCAGTAGTCAGAACAAAATCTTTTTTCCCTCTAATTTTTTTTTACCAAAATTTTCCTTCTATTTCCATCTACTTATATTGAAATATAGCTCTTCGAAAACACATTTAGGAGCAAAATTTTCCGACTCTGTTCTATTTTATTAACTTTTGAGGATCGCAGGTTGTGCATTGTTCATTTTTTCAAGAAGGTCCTAAGAAACCGAAGCCGTTGCTATTTTATTCTATTCTTTTGCTTCTTGGTCTTGCATTCTCTTTTTCCTCAAAAGGGGTCCTAAAACCGTACCTTCTTTTCCTAGCCCAAAGCAACAAGTTTACATTATCAAAATACCTGCTAAAAAAAACCTTAAAATAAAATACAGCAGCCTCATTTTTCTTAGGACAAGCAACAATGCAAGGTCTTCGGCTTTACTTTCCCAGACAACCATAAGCCCCACAAGTTAAACTCCTCAAAAAGAAAACGAAAACCATCAACATGCATGATATTTAAAGAGTTTCCCCAAATTTCTTTGCTCATTTTCAGGCTTCCGCAGCAACATAGAGATAAAATGAAACCAAAAAAAGAAGGCAGAGAATTTTCCGTAGATAGTAGATTAAAGTTACAAACATTTTTTCCTATTAGTGATTACTGACTGCATTGCAAATTTGGCACAAACAAAAACAAGCCAGAAAAAATTAAAAGAAAAGGAAGAAAAACTCAGAAAGCAGATGCCATTGAAGCCAGAGAACAAAACATTACCATCTTCACCCAAAGAATTTCAGAAAAACCCAAGTGAAAGTTGAAAGAGAAGAAGATCAGAGGTATACTTACACTATAAAAATCGAAGCTTTCTAATTTTGATGAAGGTTTTGGCAATGGAGAATATGATCAAAATCGAAAACGAAAAAAGAACCGCTTTTTGCAGAAAGACAAAGGAAGTGAAGTGGAGTGAAGTGAAAGGCCAAATGCTTTGATCGGTTAACTTTTCTGATACTCTGATTTACAGACCGTACATTTATTGGGTTTGGCATTAACATTTGTTTAATGTACCTATTTCATCTAATTAATAGTAACACTTTTAACCTTTGGCCATGAGATATGGGTAGATAAATATGATACTCATATTTAATTTATAAAATATTTCGATTTTTAGCCTAATTGAGGTTTAATTCAAACTCGTTTATTACTCTTTAATTTCTTTAATATAATTACTATAATTATCAAATTGTAAAGTAAATTTAATATACACAACATTAAAAAGTAATAGTTCATTAAAAAGTATACCACAAAATTTTAAATAATAATTATATTTAATTCGTTCAAAATACATGAAAAATAGTAATAAAATCAGTGTTTTAAAATCGAATGGCTAAGTGAACCGGAGATGTGGTCGATTTATAATTTTTCTGGTTTGATCGGTTCAGCCGACCGGTTCACCGGTTTTGTGTCATTTTTCTTTTTGGCGAATAACGTTATATGGTTAAAAAATCCAAAGATCCCTAAGATCCGAAATGGTAAACACCAACACATAACCATAATTTACACAAACAACTCGAAAATTGATCACAACTTCCTTGTCCAAAAAATCAACTAAATACAAGAAGTAAACGAATCAAAAATTGATTACAAATTCCTAATCCAAAAAAAATCAACTAAACACAATAACTAAATAAATATTGTATCATAATTTCCACAAACAATCTTCAAAATGTTCAAGCAATTCCAAGAAATAACTATCATAATCAAATTGCCAACTTATATATAAGCTTAAAAAATTTTCATCATCATATTGCTAACTCTGCCAACTTTAGTGTATGCCGAGAATCCTAATCTCTAAATGTCTTCATTATCAAGATAAGGTGCAGCTTACAATTAACTTCAACGTCATCATTAAAAATGTTCAATAAACTTAAGAAAATTAAGAAAATTTCAAGCAACATTTTCAAGTAAAAAATGTTTCATCCCAATCCAAAAAAAGAAAAGAAACCAAAAATAAAAAAAAATCAACTTAACAAAATTTCAAGCAACTTTGAAGGGAAAAAAAGAAAAAAGAAAGTACAATGAACACTTAAAAGCTCAAACCAATGTTAAAAACTTACAAGATTGGAACTATTATCTAATGCCAAATGGTTTATTAGCCAAAAAAAAATTCTAATTTAAGCCTAATAAATAACATGATTTAGTCAATGAAATGCTGATTAGAAACACAACAGTCAATGGACTAATTTTTTTTCCAACAAACGTCAACATTTTTATATCTATTAACACTTGATAATACAAGAGCTAATTACAAAAAGAGGTAACTATCCCCATATCTTTTCTTGCTAGATCTATCAACCATGTTGGGAAGTTATTTTCCTATTCGATATCTTTAACTAGTTTGACCGCCAAATTGTGCCAGGCTATGGCTACAACCATTTCCAGCTCTAGGAACAAAAGAGAATTTGCAACACTCAAAATCCTGTCTAAGGTTACCAATGTCCTCCAGGACTATTTCTATGCTGTTGTCTTGAACATTGCCTGTGTTGATTTCGTCCACTACACCTTTGCAATCTATTTGGACTTCAATATTAGTCCAACCTGCATTCTTTGCCATTACTAGAGCACTTCTAATTGTTAGTGCTTCTTCTTTGCTTGCTACTCCTCTCTTGCGTTCAGATATTCCTTTTACTTTCACAATCTTTCCCGACCAGTTCCTGGTTTTGATCCCCAAACTTGTTCTTACCATTTTGGCTGATATTACTGCATCTGTATTTATTTTGATTGCCTGCCAACTTCTGGAGTGGCCTTGTTTCCTGCATTTGCCATTGTTTCATTTTCATACTCGATCCATTCCTACTGTGCTTTATCAACAATCTGCTTTGCCTTCTTGTTTTCCCAGTGGAATACCATATTGTTTCGTGCCTTCCAGATATGCCATAGAATGTTTAATGTGAGGTTGATTCTGTCTTGTCCTTGGTCCTTATTGGCTGATTACATCACTACTTTCCATCATCTCCATAGGTTACTTTGTAGTTCAGTTATTCCCTCCCACCGGACAAGCGCTATTTTCCATATCATTTTGGCTTTTGTGTAGAAGAAAAATATATGCTCAGTGGTTTCAGCTGCCTCTCCATAGCAGTTGTATATACTGTTTCCCTTTCCTATTCTTCTATATATGGATTCATTCACTGGTAAGCTGTTCTGCAAGCTCCTCCACAAAAAGTGTTTCAGCCTCATCTTCAAGTTAAGGCTCCACAACTTCTTCCATACAGTATGTTTTCTGATTTGCCAACTAGTTTCTGCTCTTGATTCCTTCGTTCTGTTTTGGGGAACTACCTCCACTTTTGCCATAGTGTATCCTGATTTTACTGTGTACATCCCAAATTTGGTGTGTTTCTAGAAAAGTCTATCTCTTTTGCTGTATAAACTAAGGGGTTTACTAACAATGCGTTCAATATCATGTTCACTGAACCATTGCTATAGACAATCTATGTTCCACTTCCTTCCCTCAATCAACTCATTGACATTCCTCTGCTGACAGTGGACAGGTTTTGTTGCTAAGACTTTTCCATTTTCTGCTCCAATGACCCATTTATCCTGCCAGATTTCCACTGTCCTTCCACCTCCCACTCTTTTCCATAGTCCTTCTCGTAGTAGTTCACCACCATTATCGATGCTTTTTCAACACCAAGAAACAGAGTTGGAAGGTTTCTTCTCTAGCCACCTAACCTCTTTCATATATTTAGCTTTCAATACTCTACTTACTAACAAATTTGGAGCTGTAAGAAATCTCCAAATTTGCTTTGCAAGCAGAGCCAAATTGAAAGCTTCCAAATCTCTAAAGCCCAGTCCCCTTTCCCTTTGACATATAAGAGCTTTCTCCAACTAACCTAGTGAATCTTGTTGTTCTTATCTCTATTCCCTCACCAGAATCTAGCAATTCTAGAACAGATTTCCTTACACAGTTCTTTGGATAATTTAAAGCAAGACATAATATATGTTGGCATTGCTATGAGCACATATTTGATCAGGACCTCTTTCCCTCCTTGACTTAGAGTCTTCTGCTTCTACCCTTGCGTCTTGCTAGTGATTTTATTCTTAAGATATCCGAATACCTGGTTCTTTGACCTCCCTATATTCATTGGCAGGCCTAAGTATTTCCACTGGACGCCTCCCTCATGTTGTCCAACGCTTCACTTATCTCCAATCTTGACTGGCTTGGAGTGGTCCTGCTGAAACACATTGCTGATTTGTCAAAATTAATAGCTTATCCAGAAGCTTGTCCATATTGTTCAAGGATTTCCTTCACCTTCATAGCTTCCTGCTTGCTTGCTTTGCAACACAAAAGAGAATCGTCTGCAAAGAACAAGTGAGAGACCATGGGGCTATCTTTACAAATTTTTATGCTAGTGATTTCTTTTGCTTCCACAGCTTTCTTGAGTAAGTTAGACAGCCCTTTGGCACATATAATGAACAAATATAGGGATAGGAGGTCACCTTGACGTAGCCATCTTGTAGGAGTGACATGTCCTACTTATTGTCCATTCAGGTTAAAGGAATAAGAAACAGTGGAAATACAAACCATGATTCATTTAACAAAAGTGGGACAAAATCCCATATGCATCATCAGTCTCCCAAGAAATCTCCATTCTATCCTATCATAGGCTTTAGACATGTCAAGTTTTAAGGTCATGAAGCCTACCTTACCTTTTCTCTTATTTTTCAGGAAATGTAAAATTTCATGAGCAATAAAAACGTTATCCAGAATTTGTCTCCTTGGGATAAAAGCAGATTGAGAGGAACTAATACAGTGCTTTAATTCCCTTTTCAGTCTATTAGCCAGTATTTTTTATATGACTTTATACAGCACTGTACACAGGCTAATAGGTCTGAAATTGATTAACTTCACTGGATTATCAATTTTTGGAATTAGAGATATGATGGTCTCATTGACATATTTAAGCAAATTTCTACTATGAAAAAAACTGCTAATGGCTTTGATAACATCAACTTTAATGATGGGCCAATAGTTTTGGAAAAACAAGGGAGACATACCATCTACACCTGGGGCTTTGTTTGGGAACATAGAGAACAAAGCTTGTTGAATTTCCGTCTCTTCTACTTGTTTAATTAACTACTCATTCATCAGACTGGAAATAGTGCAAGGTATTCTTTGTAGAATCTCATCAAATTCTCCAGGCTTTGTAGGAGTGAAAAGTTCCCTATAGTGATTACACAATTCTTTTTCAATTTCCTACTCATTTCTACACCAGTCCCCATTCAATTTTTGTAACAAGCCGATTTTGTTCCTTTTTCTCTTGGTCATTACACTTATGTGGAAAAACGTTGTGTTCTTGTCACTTTCTTTAAGCCATCTACTCCTTGACTTCTAACTCCAGAATAGTTCCTTCTCGTTATATGCTCTGCTAAGTTGCATTTTCAGGTTTGCTATGTCCCCTCTACTGCCTGGGTCACTTCCTGCTTTCACTGCTTTCAGTTTCTCTTTTTGTTCCTGGATCTTTGCTTTTGTGTTGCCCTTCACTTTCTTGTTCCATTCAAGCAAAGCAATTCTGCATTTCTTTATGCTTTTTACCACTTTGAACATCCGTGAGCCAGCTTGTTCCATTCCCAGGCTTTTATTATCACTTCATCTGTTCCTTTGTCCTTGGCCCATCTTTGATCAAAGTAAAACCTTCGTGTCACTTTTCTGTTATGTGGATTCATATCCAATATCAAAAGACAGTGATCAGAAGCTTCCTTTTCCACATGTTCACATGTTGCTTTATCAAATTTTTGAACCCAACTCACACTTCCCAAACACCTATCCAACCTTTCCCTTACTTCACCCACCCCCTTCCCGGAATTGCACCATGTCCAAGGAACTCCTATGAAAACTACTTCAACTAGGTCATTCCCTTTAATAAAGGAATTGAAATGCCTTAAACTTCCCTCTGGCCTCTCTCTTC